GTGTGTCGCTGTCCACCAACTTCAGCATGCCCATGATGGGCTCTAGCATCTTGCACAGAGCTCTCAAATCCTCCCACCATGGAGGGGAGCCGATACATGCAGTGACCTCCGCTGCATCCTTGCGGATCTTGCTGGTCGACCAAACAGTCTCGCGCCAGCGATCGTCGGCCACAACATCTGTCAACGCGGCCCGCAGTGCCACCAGCCTCTCCATCATGATGACGTTCATGCCGAAACGCGTCTCCGCCGGTAGCAGAAGAGTCTTCGTCAAGTGCGCCTCAAGAACCTCTCTCGCATGTCCATGGCGCTTGAAGAACCTTGTAACCAGCCTCACTTGAGAAATGCGGGAAGCCACCCAATCAATCCCGCCGATGTCCTCGAGAATGAGATCCATGATGTGGGCGACGCAAGGAATCCAGAAGATGTGTTTCACACTCTCATCTTTTTGGAATACCTCCATCGCCGCGACGTTCACCCCGGCGGAGTCCATCACGAACGCCGTGATGTCGCTCAATTGAACGTCCATGGACTTCACCCTTTTCAACCATGCATTCGCGAGGGCACTGGCGTCCTTTTTGCCACGCATGACGTCGGTGGACACATACACCACCCTGATCTCTGTACCAACAAGGTAGTTGCACAACGTCTGACCACGGATGTTGGTCCAACCATCGGTCATGATTGTGCAACCGGTCTCTCTTGACGTGTCAAGCACCGGCCGAACACACTTCTGGACCTCACCATCCAGCTTGTCCAAAAGGGTCGTGCGCAGCATGTGGTACGAGGGAAGTCTAGGCGCAGGCGCCCCTGGAACCCCCGACGGGATTATCATCGTGAACATGCGTTTGAAGCTTTCAAGCTTCGTGTTGTTGAACGGCATCCCGCTCTCGACGATGAACCGCATGATTTGCAGATGCCATGCGCGCTCCAAAGGGTCCGAATAATATGACGTGACGGCTTGCTGCCTGTAAGTGCCCCGACATCGTCCCGTCGTAGCTCTCCCGCCGAGGACCCCGGCATCCAACAACCCGCCAGGGCTCACAGGTGTCGCGCTCTGGGCGACTGCAAGGTCACAAATGCGCTGCAAAGGGTCTAACGTTCCGGTCAACACGGGTGGAGGCTGTGGGGCAGACCGACCACCGCCCGTGGTTGTCGGAACAAGGGTCGGCGATGAATCGGACACCGGAGCGGGGACCTCCTCGGCAGGCACCCCATGATCCACCTGTTCCCCGAAACGAGGCACGGAAGCAGAATGTCGAGCATCTGCAGGTGCGTGTGACGGATCCGGGTGGGCGGTTCCGTGAGCGTGGTGGATCATTGGACGCTGCGTCGCTCTCGATTGCGGCGGTGGCAGCCAGGGGTGCTCCGACGAACTGCGGGGTGATGCGCCAGGTGCCACCGCAGTACCACCCCGTGCGGCATCTGACTGCCTATCACTCCTGAAAACAGGGGCGAGCGCGGGCGCTGAACTGCCGGCACTCCCCCCCCACTTGCGACTCTCAATAAATGCACGTGTGCTCTCCTCGTCAAATGCCGCAGAGCCCACACCATCCCTAAGAGGCGGGGGCTCGTTGGCTGGCGTGGAACGACCAACTCCCACATCGCGAGCACCTCGTGTCCCAGCCA